TTTAAAGGAAGTTTAGAGTAAGAGAATCATATTTAAAATAATGTTATGTCTATGTATTTTTAAGTCAATTTAATTTGTAATTTTACTATGATTTTCATATTATAAAAATTAATTTTAAAAATAAAAGCATTTTTTTTTTGTTATCTTGAATAAAATAAACATCATACATTAAGTTAAATAGCTAATTAAGTAACTTTAGTTTATTAATTAAAAATAATAATAAATAAATAATGTCTCAACATTTATTTATGAATCTAGTTTTTTAATAAAATAATAAATTATATATATATATATATATATATATATATATATATATATATATATATATATATATAAAAGACTTTAAATGGGTTAACGCATAATTCATAAAGAATTTTACACCTAACAAACTGACACGTGTCAAAAATAATACTTGGAGTTACTTATTTTTGTTTATTTTAAAATATTTAAAATAATTTTAACAAATCATTGAACATAAAATTATTCACAATCAAATAATTTCAAATACGTTTAATTTTGAGATTATAAATTTTATTAATATAAATAATAATTATAAATTCTCTTAAATATTTTTTAAACCTAAATATTTGATATCATTAAATTTTTGTATAATAATTTTAAAACATTTAATTGCATAATAATTATAAATATGTCTTTCTTTTGACTTACTGCTATTTATAATAGTATTAAATATTCAGTACAGCCTCTGTACTAAAATTCTCTCCATTTTATTTCCTTACGTGAATTATTTATGATCAGCTGGCTATGAGTTTGTTTTATTTTCATGCTTGTAAGTATGAGGGAAAATCAATTAATTTTATTGAATTGTCATTACTATCATTATTTCAACTATATATTATTTTTTTCTTATATTAAATTATTATGATTTGAATTGAATATTTTTTATGTATACATTATTTTGTTTCCAATAATTAAAAAATGGAGAATAGTAATATAATTAATTTAGAGGTAGGTATCAGTTTGGGAGTTAAAATATAAATTTTGCTTCATCGTTGAAACGCAGAAAATTAATTTGAGATGAACAGTTTCACTCCATCTTTCAACGGCTAAATCATATTGTTGTCTCCTCTCATAAATATTTTCAACCTCTATAATTAATTTCTAAAATTCACATCTTTTTTTAAGATCGTTACTGTACTAGCAAGATGTATTTTCCTTTTCGGTGGCTCAATCATAAAAACCCTAAAGTTAACCGTTTAATTTGGAGTAGTTTTGCTTTCGATGACTTCTTAAATTTTTTTTCTAAAAAGCATGTGAGCGAAGACAAAACATGTTAAAATGACTGTGATAGTCGTTTTAAAGATAATCTAGTAACATGTCGAGATATAGTATTTTAAGTATATATTATTTATGGATATATCTTAATATTCTTCTCTTTATAATTTGATTTATAATATATTTTATTTTCTTTGTTGGTAGGTATTAGTTGCTTCAATGAAAATACACATATTCGATTCTAATTCTATTTCTATTTCTCATTCTTAACCTCAGGATGATTTTGTTGGTATAAATATTAATTGTTAATTTTTTATAAAGTTGTTTTTGTAGCTCTTAAAATTTTCTAGTATATATTTGATATTTGGGTGACAATATGATATCTCGTTGAGCTTATTCAGACTATAAATTTTGTATGAATTTACAACTAATGATTTTCGATATTTTCTTATTATAACTTGACCGTACTCTTATGTCCCATAATATAATAATATGGTACAATCAACTTCTCACCTAAAATTTTGATGCTGCGACAAGAACAATAACTATAATTTATTTATTTTTTCTACAAGTCTTCGTCCAAAGAAATATCAATGATTCCTTATGAAGAAATCAAATTGGAAGTAGTTAATATTTTTATAGTAAAATAACAAGTCATCTGTCATAGTGGGTGGTTTAAGTTTTTAAGTCTTCGGCCAGTGGAACGACATCGTTTACTTGTCATGGTTTTATAAATAATAATGGAAAAGAAAATCCATTTTGAAATTGAATTGGAACGACTACAATAATAGGAGGGGAGAGAGCGCCACTATCCCTTTCTGGCTTCCCCACTAAGTATAAGATATGTATTATTTATTGTTATTATTATTTTTTTAAAAAGATATGTATTTCTTTATAAAAACAATTAATTTTAAATAATAAAGAAAATGGGTGCAGGACGGTTTGGTTGGCCGGGCCACCCTCACTATTAAAGTCTGTTTTTGTTCTGTATGTTCATAAATAAATTAATATATTTTTATCGGTGGAGGAGAGAGATCTCAGACGCTTTTTTTTTTTTTTTTTTTTTTTTTTTTAAATTAATAAAAAATTTAATTATAAGTTTAATATAAAAAAGAAAAATCTAAAAAAATATATACATACTAAATATTTCAAAACTTTCAAAAATTACATTAATATGCTTCAACTTATTTAAAATATTAATGGTAAGTGTATAGATACATTTGTTCACATAAATTACATTAATACCCTTGTAGTTCCACTTCAATTGAATCAATTAGTTTGATTCACTTATATCGGTCTCGTTTGGTCGAGTATTACTAACCTAATTTAATCAAATTTTTCTGTTTTGTTTCCTAGGTTTGTGAGCATTGTGTCTTCATTTTAAAGTTAGAATGTCAATAATGAAGGTTGATTTAGATTTTTTTTTTTTTTTTTGTTACAAGAG